CCTGCTTGTTCTCGTGGTATTGGCTCTCCTCTGCCTCCACACACCTGCCCCGCACACCTGCCTGCTCTAGTGGTACTGACCCTCCCCTGCCCCTGCACACCTGCCCCGCGCACCTGCTTGCTCTCGTGGTACTGGCCCAGCAGGGCGTACGGGCAGTAGGAGATGCTCATAGAGACGACGCCCATGGTGCTGATCATCACCATGGCCACATAGACGTTGGCGAACATGGCCATGATGGCGGTGCCGATGGAGAAGCCCAGCGTGCCCACCACGTAGATGACCCTGATGCTCAGGTCGTAGTTGTCCAGGTACTTCTGAAGCAGAGCTGCAGGGCGGCACGGGAGAGCTGGTGAGGAAAGCCCGCCCCACCCCGCCCCGTCGGGCACCGTCTGTCCAGCCCTGTGCCGTGCGCACGCTGGGGGCTCACCTGAGCAGACGGCACCGGTAGCCGCGTAGATGACCAGGCCCCAGCAGCCCATCTTCACCCCGTCGTTGTAGGCTTGCCAGGATGTTGAGTTGGAGGAGGCCTGTCTCAGAAACAGAGGCGGGGAATCAGGAGGGTGGGCAAGAGGGGACGCTGACCCCCAGGCGCCTACACTGACCCCAGTGAGCTGGGCTGGCCGGGTCTTACACGCAGCAGACACGGCACTTTCTCCCGGTGCCGCCGTAAGAGGCCTCACCGCTCCACAGAGTGGCTCAGACCAGACCCTGTGAGGCGAGGGGCCGTGTGATGGGTCAAGAGAGGCCCTTCCATGGAAACCTGGCCCCTACAGGAGCTGCCCTGCTGAGCCCAGCCGTGAGGGGCTCGGGGCAGGCTGGCACCCCAGGGCTCTGGCAGTGGGCGCCCTCTCACCTTGGGGTCACCCTCGAAGATGACCTGACCCATGAAGTCGGTGTAAAACACAGCCTCAGCAATGACGGAGAACCAGGTGAGAAGGTGACAGAGGCAGAGCCGGGTCAGCTCGGCGGGCATCTTCAGCATGGACAGCCAGAGCAGGCGCACGGTGGTCTCGGCCTCGCCCTCCTCGCTCTCCGTGTCCCCGCTGGACGTGGTGACGCCGCTCGGGTTGCGCTGGCGGCCACGCTGCCGCTTCTGCAGCTCATATAGGTCGTTCATGCTGCGCGAGGACTTGATGAGCACCACGGCGTTGGCGCGCCGGAACCGGTAGCGGTGGGAGCCGACCTTGCCAAAGTAGGAGAAGGTACTGGAGGCCTGTCGGCGGAACACGTGCCGTCGCCGCCGCACGGAGCCGCATGCGGCCGGGGGCTTCAGGTCGACGCGGGTGTAAGCGCTCAGCCCATCGTGCGGCGGGGAGCCGCTGCCATTGGGGACCTTGGCCTCATCGGCGTGGTTGTCCAGCAGCACGGTGTCCTCCTGGGTGCTGTCCCTGAGGAAGGTGGGCAGGCGGGGCAGTCTGGCCTTGGCGAGCTCCTGGCTGGTGCCGGGCGGAGTGCCGGGGGCGGCGGTGTCGTGGAAGATGGAAGGCTCGATGTCGTGCAGGAAGAGCAGTTCGGACTCCATGTCCAGCGTGGCGTCCGGCATGTGCAGCACCGAGTCGCTCTTGCTCCGCACCATGTCTGCGTCCAGGTAGTCCAAGGCCAGCTCGTGCTCTGACTGCACCTCGTCCGGGAAGAGTACGCCGTCTGAGGTGCCGGCGCGGCGAGCCAGGGCCAGGGCCTCGGCCTCGGCCTCAGAGTCGGTGACGCAGCGATCCTGCTGGGGGCTGTACTGTTCCTCCTCGATGCTGAAGAGGTGCAGGCCCACTGAGATGGTGAACACAATGGCCGCAAAGAAGAACAGCACCTGGTTCTGCGTCCGGAACCAGGAGCCCAGGAAGGTCTGTGTCCAGTCCAGACCGCCCAGCACGTAGCCGATGGCACCCCCAAGGCCTGTGGTAACAGGAAAGCAGAGGGCGAGTGGGGCGGGAGCCGAGGTCACCTTCAACAACATCCCACGCTCACTGGGTGCCGTCCTCCCGGTGGACACGGGAGGCTATGAGCGCTGAGGGCCAGCAGGCCAGGGGGCAGCGTCTCACCCGCAGAGAAGGCGTGAATATTGAGGGCCATGTCCTGCTCCTCGCTGTCTACCACGTCCAACAGGTAGGCGCGGATCGGCCCTTCTGTGGCGTCAGCACTGAAGTCCAGGACCACCACGCCCAGCACCGTGAGGACGATGCCGATGGGCTGCCGGTTGGGGACATCGCCAAGAGCCAGACCTGGCAGGACAGAGAATCAGCTCAAGCTGGACGCCCGAGAGGGAGCAGAGTGGAGGTGAGACGCACACAGCCCCCCTCACAGACAGAGCCCCCCTCTGCTCCATGTGGATGTATGTGAGACGCTGGAGCGCCGTCTGCTCCTTTTTACTTCTGCAGGACCAGGTGCCCCCACCCCGGCCTGCCAGGCCCCACAAGATGCGCCGGGCCTTCACAGAGCTGGCCTTGCCCCTCATAGCCTAGCCGTCATGCAGCAGCTGTGGTGGTGGAATTATGGGTCAGCATCGGCTAGATCTGTGCCCACAAAGTGTGTGTGTGCCCACTCTGGGGGTCTACAGAGGCCTCGGTCTCCAGACTCTCACACTGAGCTCTGGTCTCAAATCACACGTGACATTACACGCAGCATTTTCTGCGCCTAGGCCTGTCCCCCAAGCAAAGCTCTGCTGTCCTCTAAACAGAATTCATCTTAACGGCCAAACTCTGACACATGTGAGCCAGATTGAAGGCAGCGCTGACCGCGACAGGCTGGGGACTTGGCTCTAAGACGCAGTCCCCAAACACCACACGCCCAGACACAGTCGAGGAACGGCTGGGATGCAGAGGGGCAGCTGCTCTGAAGTGGGAGGCAGACCGTCTCTGTCACACATATGTGGGGTCCAGCAGGTCTGCGCTAAAACAAGCAACCACCCACCTGAGCCAGCCCACCGCACTGGGCTCTGGGTGCTGAGAAGGCCTCAGTTTACCAGATGAGATGGCTCCCTCGGGTCTGAATGCAGAGAAACTTCAGTTTGAGGCATGAGACAGACTCCGCCTTTACCATCAGCACCTTCCCCACAAGGCAGGAACCATTTCACACGTGAGGTCAGTTAAAAACAACATCACGTGTCCCGGAGTCAGGTATGGGAGTGCGTCTGACACTGGGGACAGGACGTGGAAAGAGAGCCACCCGCAGCGGAGGGAGCCCAACCAGCAGGCCCCTGCGACTTCCCCACGAGCACGTCTGGCTGACCCAACACTGATTCCACTCACCGATGGCGGAGCCGTTGAGGAAGAGAGCCACACCAAAGAGGACGCCGATGCACAGGACCAGGATGAATGGACGCCGGCGGCCCCAGCTCAGGGTGCAGCGGTCACTGGCCGAGCCGATAAGCGGTGTGAAGATGAGACCGAGAATGGGGCTCAAGAACCAGGTGAGGCTGTAGTACTGCTCTGGGAGACCTAGGCAGACACATGACACCCACAGAGTCACACTCCCCGGCAGAGCCACACCCCTGCAGTCACTTCCAGAGTCACCCCCAGAGTCACACCCACAAAGTGCCTCACACCCAGAGTCACACCCACACACCCAGAGTCAGTCACACCCAGGGTCAGTCACACCCAGAGTCACACCCAATCACAGAGTCACACCCAATCACAGAGTCACACGTACACACAACACAGGTCAGAATGTAGTGTAAGCATGCACACATCATCTGCACACACAGAAACAGTTCCACAGATGCACCAGATACACACATTGCGCACACCCCTCTCCCTGGGAGAGAACCTACTCAGAGCAGACGCTCACCTGCCACATCTGCCCATCTCAGGCCCATCAAGCCCGGGCACAAGCTGAGGTAGTATGGAGAGCCCCGGGCTTTGGCACACCAGCACGGCCCAGTCTGAAGGGACTGGCACCAGACCCTGTGGGCTCATAGACAGAGTGCACCCAAGCTGTAGCAGGCCCAGAACCAGCATGTATCAGGCGACATGTAAGCTCTGTCCTCGGGGAGCACTTCTGTCCCTGGACACTGGGCAGCTCAGAACAAGGGGTCCAGGACTGTGGCTGCAGAGGGGCTCTGAGAACCCTCATGACAACCTGGGGACACCACCTACAGGAAGGAGTGACACAACAGAACACACCTCCTAAGGCAGCAGGCACTGTACTTCTCAGCTCCCTCACTCCAGTGGGTCCCCTGTGAACAGCACAAGCTTCTGCCTGTAGTCCAAAGGGGTCCCGGTGCAGCATCAGTGAGCAGAACCGGATTACAGTGGGATTCACACTGTGTCCTGAGAGAACAGCCGTAGCTGGACCCCATGACGTGAGGAAACCCCTCGGCTGTCCCAAGGCACGCCCACCAGTCCAGGGTCCCGGGGCTCCCTGATTCAGGTTCTGATACACAGAGCGCTGACTCCCATGTCCCTGCCTGCTGCACCCATGTGTTATTAATATGAACTCTGACCCCAGCTGCATGGCTTCCCAAGAGAGCTGGACCCACGCAGTCTCCAGTCCCAGGGACACATATCAGCAAAACCAAAATGAAAGGGAGCCGGGACAGCATGCAGACCAGTGGCCCCACAGGGCTCCACCTGGCTGGAGGAGCAGGCCCTGTGGACTGTGACCTTGGGGGAACCTGGACTGACCCTGTCAGTGGGCACTGCCCATCTGTCATCACCGCAGCTACTTGGAGAAATGCAGCCGGTGACTCTCTAGTTTTCCAAGGCCAATAAGAGCCGCGAACCAGATGCCACTGTGAGCAGTCAGCGGGTTAAAAACAGCTTCTGTTTTTAAATAGCTGAAAAAGTCAGAAATGGAATTTCGTGACTTTCATTAAGATTCAGACTTGTGTTCCCCTAAGTTCGTACTAAACGGTGGTTGTGACAGACGTGTGGCCCACACGTGGGTAAGTTACTCTCAGGCTCTACAGACAAAGCTTGCCAGCTCGGCTGCAGCCCGCCCCACATGCCCCTGTCCTGACGACCTGCTGACCCAGCTGGAAGGGCTCTGGGGTGGGGTCATTAGGAGAGCAGTGCTGGGGTGCACACAGGCGGCTGCCAGAGGGGGCTGACCTTCAGGGAGTGGAAGTCCTGAACCTGAGGCACACTGGGGGTAGTTATTTGGGGCGGGGGGCAGACCAGGAAGGAGGTGAGCAATATTCAAGTGCTAGGTACAAATATGAAGGGCAAATGCCAGTGCGGGGACAATCTGGGGTATGTATGGGACCAAATGCCAGTGCTGGAGGTGGTCGCAATGGTCGCTGTCCCCCAGGATGTGGAGAGTCTGGACTACATTCGGATGGGACCCCCGGAAGTGGAAACCTAGGCTCTGGGTGGCCTGCACGCAGGTCTTCCAGTGGCTGTGGACATTGAGGGCAGGCAGCACACTGGCCACGGCATTGTGACACAGGACCGGGACAGGCAGTGTACCCGGACGCTGAGTGTGGTGCAAACCCAACCCCCCCTCCACCCACGTGGCTGCACTGGGACCCCTCGGACATGGCATTTCCCAGCAAAGTCATAAACAGAACTCACTCGTAGTAAATAATTTTTGTTTTTTCCAGGCCACGCTGCACAACAATGGTGGGACCAGGAAGACTCCCCGTTCTCAGGAAACCCTGGCTGTGTCACCGAGAGCTGGGGCCGCGAGGTCGCGGCTGTGGCGAGGGGTGCGAGCCACGTGGGCGGCTCTATTCACAGGCCGTCCCCGATAAAGTGGCACTGGGGGTGGGAGGGCTACACATGTCTAACAAAAGATCTGAGAGGGGCCGGAATTCACATTCTTCCTCTCAGTACACACAGCCTCCCACACGAGATAGACTTGTGTTCCGAGACAAAAATCTCACAATAATGTGAGGCTCATGAGAACCAGCTCTGGTGGGAACCGCTTACCATCCCTGAGTGACCTCTGGTGACCGGTGTTGTCAGGGCTGCTGGCCCCTCCCTCAACTAGCCGCTCTTAGGGATGCAAACTTGGCTTTCAGATGGCCAAACCAGGCAGGAGACAGCGCTCGGGTGCTGGGACCCAGGGACAGGGCTGGCAGGGCTCTGGGAGGGTCTGTAGGGTAGCCTCCAGCTGAAGAGGGAATGTTCCTCCAGCTGCAGGAATGTTACAGAACCCCTGGAGGCAGCAGAGGGAAGAGGGTAACAGGCGCTCAGATGCTCTTGTGGACATTTCCAACGTCCCAGCTGTCCTACCTCACCTCAGCGCTCTGTGCGTGTATGTGCATGTGTTTCCATGTGCCTACCCAACGCTTGCTTGTTCTGACTCACCACTGAGCCACCACCTGGGGCACGTGGGCTAAGCCCCCCTTTCAGACCCCAGGAGCAAGCGCCCCAAGCCCCGGAGGTGCGTCCCCCACAGCAGTGACACAGAGCAGAGGAACCAGAAGGCAGTGCTGCCAATGGGGGAGGTGCACACGGGACCTTGTTTATAAAGTGGGAGAGTCTGTGACAGTTTAGGGCTGGTGGTGTACAGCAAGCGCCAAGGTGGGTGGGGAACACAGGACAGACGGCACGAAGGAGACACTCGGTGGCGGGCAGCCGGCAGCTTCGTCTGCAGTGGAGGGGACATGACATTACACTGCAGCCGGGGCTCCCAGGAGATGGAGAGCCGGTGGGGAAACAGACTGATCATCAGCACAGACAGAAACACCCAACAAGAACACTGGGTAGAGTTTCTCAGCAGGAATCACGCACACACCACGAGACCTGCGCTGTTGTTAGGTGTCGCCGAGTCAGTTCTGACTCACAGGGAACATGGACCACATGTGCAGAACAAAGCACTGTGTGGTCCTGGCCGGCCTCACAACCTCTGCTTTGTTTCAGTCCACTACTGCTGCCACTGTGTCTGTCCATCTCATCGGGCATCTTCCTCTTTTTCACTGACCCTCCACGTTCTCTAGGGACAGTTCCTTCCTGGTAACATGCCCAAAGTATGAGAGACTTCAAAAGAGCGTTCTGGCTGTACTTCTTCCAACACAGACGTGTTTGCCCTTCTCTACCATCAGAACTCAAATGCATCACTTCTTCTGTGAGCTTCCTGATTCATTGTCCAACTTTCACATGCACACGATGCTACTATGGCTTGGGTCAAGTCCTCAAGCTGACATCTTTGCTCTTGGACACTTGAAAGAGATTTTGTGCAGCAGATTTGCCCAATGCAACGTGTCATTTAATTTCTGGACTGCTGCTTCCAGGACCGTTGATGGGGGATCCAAGCAAATCAAGTCTTTGGAAACTTCACTCTTCTCTCCATTTATCACAGAACCGTGGTGAGGATTTTTGTTTCTTTACATCGAGATACAAAACCCATACTGAAGGCTGTGGCTTTTGTTCTTCATCAGTAGGTATTTCAAGTCCTCTTTGCTTTCAGCAAGCATACTGCAGGTTGTCACTGAGTCTTCCTCCAATCCTGATGGCAGTCTTCTTCATATAATACAGCTTCTGAGACTATTGGCTCAGTTTACAGCCTGAATAAATCTGAGGAAGGAATACAACTTTGGCATGTATCTCTCTTGATTTTAAACCATGTGGCACCCTGCTGTCCTGTTCAAACAACGTCTCTTGGTCTGTGACCAGGTACCCATGAGAACAATGAGGTGCTCTGGAATCCCCAATTCGTCACAATGTTGTCCCTACTTTGCCACAAGACACACAGCTGAATGCCTTTGTACAGTCAATAAAGGAATCCTGTTGTTGTTAAGTGTTATCCAGTCGGTTCTGACTCATAGAAGGCCAACTTAGGACATTATCCACTGTGGCTTCCTGGACCCAGACACCAGGTGAGGTCCGGTGTTGCTCTCTCATACCCTGGCACCTGGCACAGTGCCGGGCGCCTGCAGGTAGGAGTCAGTGACCATCTGACAAAAGACTAGCCAGCACGTGATTCCTCGGGAAACAGGACTGTGGTTGGCATTTCATTGTTTCTAAAACACAATGATTCCAACATTAAGGAAACACACACTTCCCGACCCAAACAAAACAGCCACACACACACGGCTTCTCAGCAGTTCTAATGAAAATTCGGGAGAATTCTGACAATCCCTCCCAGACGCCTGGACGGCCCTCCATGTGCAGCTGGTCTTCAGTGGGGTGTCTCCCTGAGTCCCCTGGTGGCGGGAACTTCCGTTCCAGATGAGACTCCCAGGGGTCAGACCATGCAGTGCCCCTGCCTCAGTACACTACAGAGCAAGGCACGGGACAGTGTCCCTGAGCTCCAAACAGGGAGGCAGCTGGGACAATTCCTCCCCTAGTTCCCTAACACCAGGCTGGAAGCTGGGATCACAGCCTCCAGGTGACTGACAGGAGCAAGTTCACCTGCATTTGCCGGCAACTTCGGCAGACAGTCGCAGACTAAGCCAGGGGCAGGAGGACAGAGCATGCTGGGAAAGCCCAGTGTCTCAGGCATCTCCAGCTGCTACAACAGAAATACCACAGGTCGGGACTTTTATCAAACAAACTATCCTCTCAGTTTGTTGTTCCGAGTGCTAGTGACCCTGAGCTGGACAGGACAAAGCACTGCCTGCCTGACCCCTCACCATTCTCACCAGCCTGGCTATGTCTGAGCCCACGACTGCTGCCACGGTGCCAGGCCATCTCATTGGGGGTCTGCCTCTTGTTCACTGACCCCCCACTTTACCAAGCCTGATGTGCTTCTCCAGGACCGGTCCCTCCTCATCACATGTCTGAGGTCTGAGAGATGCAGCCTCATATCCTGGCTTCTAAGGAGTATTTTGGCTGTAATTCTTCCAACACAGATTCGTTTGTCTGACTCATATCGACCCAATACAGGATTTTTTAGAGTGGTTGGTGAGTTTGATCTGCCGACCTTGTGGGGAGTAGTCTAGTGCTTGTCCTACAGTGCCACACCAGGGCCAACGCTTCAGGAGACACCAAGTCCGGCTTCAGGGTGCAGCTAGAGGGGTAGACTTTTTCTCTTTTGGTTCTGGAGGAAGGTCCTTGACTCTGTTCAGTGGGCCTGGCGTCCCTTGGAGATCTGTGTGGGTCTTGGCATCTGTCTGGCCCTGGGTCTCGGAGGTTCTCAGCGCAGGGGCTCCCAGCTCTTCTTCCCTGGTGGTAGGAGGTTCCCCATCTCTGCTGGCTTCTCTCTCCTTTGATCTCTCCTGAGATAACGTGTTATAGGCCATGCCCCAGGGAAACCCCTTGTATATCAGGTGAGAGGTGCCAGCAGAAGAAGGGTGCTGCAGCCCCCCTTCACCCTGTTATAGCTGAGTGGCTGATCCCATCTACCCACAGCCTTACACTGGGAGTCACAGCCCAGCCAAGTCGACACACAGTTTTGGGGAACATAATTCAATGCAGGACACCCACCCACAAGACTCAGCTGCTGCTCTCTGCCCAGTCACACACATAAGCATCAGCTTGTGGCTGACCCACATCAGCAGTGAAGTGAAGGACCTCTATGGATTGGTGACCAGATGGCAGAGGGGTTGGTAGGTCAGAGGCACAGCCTCCCGGCTGCTGACCGTGGAGTGAAAATTCAGATGCACCCATCAGCCCTCGGCCTGGGGAACAAGCTGTATCCTCCAGTGCAGAGGCAGCTCCCCACAGACCACCAGGCCACGATTTCAGGTCCTAGATGCCCACCAGTGACACCCAAGTGTCTTGAGGGTTGACAGCGTATCTGAAAGTTACGCACCCCAAGCAGCACCACAGAACTGAAGGGGTGGTCACCCCGGCTGTGGGTTACAGCTAGTCTATAGGGGCTCCTGGTGGCTGCGTGATTCTGACATTCACTTTCCACACACAGGCACCCTGAGCATGCCACCCTAGCCCTGGGACGCCTCGCTCTGTGTCTCTGGACTCAACTGCCTGGCCACAGGGAGTGGAGCACACGGTACATTGTCAAAGTGTACCACGGTTAAGGGGCGCCGTGTAACAAAGGAACAGAGCTGGTGGGCCACTTCCCGGGGCTTCTGGGAGAAGGCGAGACCGCTGCTTCAGACGGGAAAACAGACAGCAAGGATGCCCCTCAGGCCCACCAGCCCCTCCAGACAGGTGGCGTGGGCTTCTCTACATCCTTCCAACCTGTCATTATAACCTGAGGAAGTTCCTCAAGAGACCCTGTTAACAGCCAGGCTTCTTGTTGTGGTTGTGAGGTGCTGAGTGATTCCATGGTATCCCCCAGGCTCCTGTCCTTTCGGTGGGCAAGTGCTTAACTGCAGTGCCAGTAGGGAGCCTTTGAAGTTTCAGACACATAGACCAAACTGCAGTCAGGTGACCTGGCTGCTTGTGCAGGGCTCTGGATGCCCATCCACACTCACGGGTAGACCACACTTCTCAGAGACTCGCTAAAGGGCAGGCACTGTGTGGCAGGAGCCCCAGGCTCAGTGGCACAGGCGGGCAGCAAGCTGGAGGGAAGGGCGGGCGTGTGAGGCCGGGACGTTTTCCTGACAGCCTTTCCAACAGGAGAAAAGGTAGATTTAAAGTTGCAATACAACACAGCCTATTCCACGAACCCGGGGCAGACTGAGCCACCACGGAACTTGGAGGAGGCAGGTGAGGTTTTCAAACAGACAAACATACACGCAGCAAAGTGAATGAGCATTCAGGAGGTATGCCGGGCCTCGTTTCCCCCACCAGCCTCCCGAATCCGAGACACTGCTTGGTCCCTTCTCCCGACATGGCAGGAGAGAAATGAAACTCCAACAGTGCTAACCCGATTCCAATTCATTAGTCAGACTGACAGAGCACAATGAGAAGCGCCTTTTGATCTTTTCTAGAACCTTCCTTTCCCTCAAGTACGACTTCCTGAGCCCCAGGGAGAACAATCCACAGGAAGGTGGGAGCCTGGCCTTGTCCTTCCCGGGGGAAAACACGCTGAGTGAGGGAACCCTGCCACAAAGGGCCATCACAGTGGTGACCGCCTAGTGTCAGAGACCGCTGCAGGGCAGCACACTGGGCAGGAGCCGGTGCAGGATGGCCATGGTCTGCAAACTGCTCTGGGAGGGCAGCCGAGATGGCCACCGCTCTATCGGGAACAAGTGATCAATACCCCTCACACCCTGACCTCCCTCTTACATCAGGCCACGACTAGGGGTCTTGTCGTACCCAAACGCCCTGGCACCACCAAGAAGAACACCACAACACAGACACTAAAGTACCTGAGTGACCCCCACCTCCTCTGACACAAGTTCCCAGTCCGGAGGCCTCTTCGACTGACCCGGGTCCCCACCTGGCCCGTTAAGGGTCCGACACCTCTTCTGTCCTGCTCACCAGCTCTGTGAAAGTACCCCCAGCTCAGTAAATGGTGGAGGGTACAGTTCCCGGACCCCCTGGACACAGACCAGGGGAAGGGAGCCACGTCTACCCAGGCTCCTGGGAGCACGCACTCCACACACGAGAGAAAGGTGCCACGACTCGGCTCCCCTAAAGTGACCGTGCAGAGATGGCATTGGTCACACTTGCAGGCGTTAAGACCCGGCCGTTTCACTTCCTCACCCAGCGACATGGAAATAGCAATTTCATCATTGCCTGAGTATGGGAACACACAGCCGGCCAAGTCCACACAAGCGACAACTTGCAGCCAGAGAGGGCAATCCAGCGGCCAGGCTGCCCCGTGCGGGGGGTGCAGACAGACAGACAGACACTGGCTGTGCAGGACTGGTCACAGGGCAGAGAGGCTCCCTGAGGGCTGTAGGGTTTTCATTCCTAAACCCAAGTAACTGTCACACCAGGAACACGCTTGGCTACTGGTTATGTGCTTCCTACAAAGGTATTTTAGGCCACAGAAGAGAAAGAAAAGTGTCGTCATTGCCAACGTGGGACCCAACCAGTATTGAAAACAAGAACCACCTCCACCACGGTATCAGGACCGGGACAAGACATGGCTCGGGTGAGAGAACTTTCCAGAGGTTCTCACAAGGACAATTGGCGCCTGAGATAGCAGACTTGTCACAGTTGTGTCCCTCTGGACCAGTTACTGCGTAGGCCTGGCTTCCTGGCTCCCAAGACTGCTGGGAGCACGCCAGGCTGGCAGAGATCCAGGCACACACGTACCCCACTTCCACCTGCTCAGCTCAGAGAGAGGCACCCCATGAGACAGCGTTTTAACTTGAGTTTGGATCCCGTGGTTATGTGAGGGGATCTTAAAACCAAACTGCAGTGACACAAATCAGGCAGGGTGCCAAGAAGCGACACAGATATGGATTCTCCCACCACGGAGACGGGAGTGCGCGAGACAGTCACGCTGTCCAAAAGCAGATGCTGTGTGCGTCCAGCATCACGTCCAACTGAGGGAAAAAGAGACTGGAGTCAGTACTCTACAGAGCACCTCAGACTCCTCCTACTGCCCTACTGCAAGGCACTGAGTCATGTGGAAAACAGTCCCCAAATCTCAATGGCTCACTCATCTGTATAACCAGGGGTCTTGGGTGGCGACCCCCTGCCACCGTAACCCTAAATCGTGACGCCGGTTGTTCCCTAATCTGAACACGCTGGCTAAAAGTTCAACAGCAATCTTTCAGGGTTCCCTTAACCTACGGCAGCATCAAAGGAGCAAAGTGAATGTTTGGTTAGATCAGTCACTACCCAACCTTCCCTCCCTTCCCAGGGGTTAAGCCATAAAGCTCTTCTTTCAGCATCCAGAACCCCCCACCCCTCACACACACACTTTATATGGGGGAGGGGGGCTTCAGAAAGGTCAAGGACAATGAAGGTAAATGACAATGGTATTTCCCACAAACTTTCTGAAGCCCCCTTGTATAATCTTGCTCTCATACACCGCCCTCACCCAGAGACCCCACCCGAGTCGACCGTGCGGTGGGCACCCAAGAAACCAACACCTGCAACATCGACGTGGATTAGAGAATGATTCAACCACCAGAGACCACCCGTATTCCACTTCCTGTAAAAGCCACTTGGCCAAAATCTCTAATACCTCTGCACCCAATGCCAGGTAGTTCAGGGGCGGGGAGGGCGGCTGAGGACAGAGCCCAGGGACATCTGTGTCCAGGGTTCCTGTGGATGTTTCTACGCACAAGTGATCTGATCCTGGAAGACATGCCGACGCCAAGCCCCCGCCTCTGTGTGCAGCGGGGACAAGCACTTACCAATCTGCAGCAGGATCGGCGTGACCAAGGCTGTTTCCATGGCGTAACAGAATTCACGGCCGAACATCACGGCCCCATGCATCACCCACAGGCGCACGGGGATCCGGTCGATGGAGCCTTCGCTGGTGGTCTCGTCGCGATTCTCGGCCTCCTTGCTGGTGGGCTTGTGTGGGTCCGGCACGGGTACAGGCAACTCTTGAACTTGCATAGACTCAGGGTCAGCATTCTGCGGAGCCATTTTCATCACCACCAAAATATATATATATATATATGTATGTGTGTGTGTGTGTATGTATATGTATATATATGTATATCTATTTACTCTACCTATATAAAGAATACTCTATCTTTATTGATAAATGAAGACGTCTTCTCTCTCTCCAGCTGTCTTCCTCTTTGTACAAACAGGTAATCCCAAATCCTCACAGTTGTGGGAGGCATGCAGCAAAACCAAACGGTTTTTGGTTGGATTATAAGCATATGGCTGGTTTACTGTGAATTAGAGTTACAAATCCATAAATGCCATTCAGTTAATACCAGTTTCATCATTATGACTGAAGCGGTGCTGAAGTGATCTTTCTTGCTACAGAGAGGCAGGAAGGTGGCAGAAAAAGGTGGTCCACTGTTAATCCCCATCGAGCGAGCGGGTGATCTGAAAGACAGGAAGCCCAACCCGACCATGCAGTCAGAGGACCGCCGCCCACCCCACCCCACCCCCAGCCCGCCAGCCGCGTGGACACCCCGAGGGTCTCTGGAGACAATTCCGGGGACCTCAACTTCTGGGGCTTATGCTCTGGTTGGCTCTCTCTACTTGGAGCAATCCAGTTTTCAGAGAAATGATGTTTTCCCAGACAGAACTGAATCCTGGGGGAAGGATGAAGGTCGGACAAGGGCGAGCTGGTCACGAAACAAGAACTCTCGACTCACGGTGACCCCACAGGACAGAGGAGAACTGTCCTGTTTCTGAGGCTGTCTCACTATCTTTACAAGAGACGACAGACTCATCTTTCTCCTGTGCAAAGACTGGTGGGTTCGAACCACTGACCTTCCCATTCGCAGCCCCGTGTTTTAACACAGTGACACCAGGGCTTGTCTTTGCATCATCCCACTGCAGTCAAGCTGATTTTGACTCCAAGAGCCTGTGGAACCGAGACTGAGGCGGGTCAGGGTCTATGGGCGCAGACGGCCTTGCCTTTCCTCCATGGGGACAGCAGAAAATGGCAGGCGTGCAGGCTGCCGTTACTCGCACGGTGTTTTCTCACAGGTGGAAGGCTGGCAGCACCCTGGTGTCGAATGTGGCCATTGGCGCTTGTTTTCTAAGAACCTGTGCTCACTAGTGTCAGAGTTCAGGCTTTTCATCCCCAGTGCAAGCACCACTTCTGTGGGCACAGGGAACCCAAATCACCCCATGTGACCTGATTCAGTTTGACGTCTGCTTTCTCTCCAAGGCCTGAAGCAAACTTACCGGTATAACCACAGTGCCCTTTGGGGCCTGCAGACAGGAGGGCAGGGAGCAGGAGGGTGGGACTAGTGGGAAGGGAAGAGGGAAACCTTAGATCCGGTCTGGAAAGTTGACAAAGAACTGGCTTCAGGACTGGGCAGGGTGAGGAGGGCAGTGATTCACTGCCAGGAATGGGCAGGTACTGAGAACCAGGGTCCTCCACCTCTGTAGGCTACGAAACCTTTTCAAGAACCAGCTGCTATATTCTGCATCGACCCGCTGGGGGCTCACAAGGCTGCCCAGCACAGCCCACAGCCTCCTCGGGGCTCTGGGACATCCTCATCTCCTGGCTAAAACTAGAAACTTACTGACAAATGGCTTAGAAAAATGAGGTCAGACACCCAGAGTTGAGACTGCAGATAGTGTTAGGGACCGCACTCCCCCTTGTCCACCCCCCAGATAATTCTCAACTTGGCTGGGCCTGAGAATCTCCTTGTTATATAAGTGACCTCCGTGTTGTGATAGGAGCTGATGATCTTGTGTGAGGTAAACCCTCACTTTATGGCTCTAATGAGGCAGGAAGCAACTTGCAGTATTAGGTTAGATCGTGAGTCAAGAGATTCTACGAGCAGAGCAGAGCACAGAGGGACTGACTCCTACCAGGAGGGAAGTGGAGAACTCTCAGACATGGGGTTTCTGCTGAGAAAACTCCTAGACCCAGGGGAATATTTAATGCCAAGACACATGGAGGCCTCCGAGGAATGTCAAGACCACATATGCTGAGAGGAGACAAGGCCCAGAATCTACCCTCACCGCCCCGTTTGTCAAAACCACCTGCTAGTGGGATTTCTACCGTAGCTGCGTTAGACGCCCAAGACACCTGTCAGCTCACCCTGGTCACCTCTCGCTCAGACAAGGTGATGACCACGTTCTATGTTCATGAGGGTCTGTGGGCTGACACCACACCGTGAGTTCTATGTTCATGAGGGTCTATGGGCTGGCACGGTACCCCAAGTTTTAACAACTGGTTTAAATAAAAATACCTCTAGCTGGCATTCACTTAACCAAATGATCCAGAGAGCTCGGCGGCGTCTCCCTCCTCGGCTGGGTGCTGGGTCCACCTCGGCAGTCCCCGTGAAGTTGGCACTTGTCTGCTCTGAGGGAGGGGCTGATACTCGACCCCTCAGGGCCAGTTCTAAGCTCTCTTTCCTGTGGCCACGGAAGCTTGCTTCCTTCCGAGTTCCTTAGACTCAAAGGCTCATTGAGTCCAATCTGTGTTTGCTGCTCACCCACCCACGACTGCCCCTCACAGAGACCCTGTGTGGGCTTTCTGAGCTTTTGTTGGTCTTTTGGTAAAAGCAGACACCCTCACCTTTCTCCTGCAGAGTGCCTGGTGGGTTTGAAAGGCTGACCTTGTGGTGAGCAGTCCAGGGCTTACCCCAGAGCACCACAAGGCTTCTTGCTGCCTAGGTCCCCAAACCTCACAAGTCTGCCCAGCAGCACCTACTGGCGAACCTTTCAGGTTCTCCCGTCACCCTCCACGATGCCCCAGCAGCTTTCCAGAGCTCGCCCTCCTAGTCTGCAGAAATCATTTCCGTTTAGGCACGTTCCCAATGTCCCCAGTGAAGACGGAGCAGTAGGGCACATTACGCTGCTCTTCCCTCGTCTGTGTGGATCCATTCCTGGACCCAGAGAAAATGCAGAGCTTCCCTCCCACCCACCAGCGTGTCAGTTGTATAGTAAAAATCCCACTAACATGGGGCGTGAGGACCAGGAAGGCCACCACATAGCAAGATTTCTTGTCCCTTCAAAACAGCCTCTATAGGTCAGCCGGGAGTTTGGTAGGAACGACAGTAGTTAACTTTCTAATAAATCCCGGTGACTACATTTTAAAGTCCTGCCCAGTGGCCCTGCCGGTCCATCTGCTGTGACATACCTACAACATGGCATTCTCTGCTCACAAAGCCATGATGGGCAGTAATAACTTTTGGTCCAAAGTAAATTTGCTTTGACCTGATCAACACCCATGGACACAGCAGTCAAGATTGCACTGGACAAAGGGGCCGCGCCAAAGACCTTTTAAAGGTGGTGTTCAATAGCAAAGGGGTCAGCTTGAGGACTAAGGTGCACCTGACCCAAGCCATGGTATCTTCTATAGCCTCGCATGTACATGAATGTTGGACAGCGAATAAGGAAGACCATAGAAGAATTGACGCATTTGAATTATGGTGTTAGTGAAGAACATTCAAAGTCCGTCAACTGTCAGAAGAACAAACCAATCTGTCTTGGCAGAAACAGAGCCAGGATGCCTCTCAGAAGCATGGATGGCAAGACTTCACCTCACCTATGTGGCACATGTCCTCAGGAGGGACCGGTCCCTGGAGCAGGACATCATGCTCGGTAGAGGGTCAGCGAAAAAGAGGAAGCCCCTCAGTGAGCTGGACTGGCAACAGTGCCTACAACAATGGGCCCAAACACAACACCGCCTGTGAGGTTGGTTTGGGACTCGGCGCGTTGTGTGACGCTGTGCACTGGGTTGCTGATGGGAACCACCGTGAGGCCGGTGACAAGGCAGTGATTCTAAACCGAGGGGCAGCTCTGACTCTCCGGAGGGCTCTTGTCTGCAGTGGTGTTGGGCAGGTCTAGGATGCTGCTCCACACATGACAGTGAGGGACTCCTCACCCCACCTTGAGGCATTAAAGGGGAGCCCTGGTGGCACAGTGGTGGGGTAATGATGTGGCATTCTGCTTGTCTTACTGGTCACCAAGAGTCAGAACCCACTCAGAGGTAATGGGTTTTGCTTGTTTGTAAGTTATTAAATAGGAAATAACCAACTTTTCTTTAAAAAGGCTGAAACCCTTGGTTGTAACATGTTTAATCAATCCAGCCAGCACAGAAATCCATAGATGCGAGAGACTCTCACAGTCTCCCAGGGAGGCCACTGTGAGTTGCTCACTTTTAGTGAGCCCGTGGGGGACAGGCTGTGAGGATGACAGCCACAGCTGCCTGCCTGGTGGCCCCAACGTCAGGCCCGAGTGTCCACCTGCTACAAGGCCAGAAGGATCAGCTCAACAGTCCTCAGTGAGGTGTCCTTCTCTTACGCGGATAGGACAGGTGTCCAAAGGACGAACCACTGGGGGCTGAGACCACACGTCCTTCAAAGCAGGGTTGTTTTCAGGACAATGGGACTCACAAAATGCAACGCCGCTGTGTCTGAGCTACTCCGTAGTGTCTGGGGATTCCCTGCCAAACGTCTAAACACTGAACTTAGGAAGAAAGTCTGCAAAAAATGGGTGGTGAGCAGTCACATGTCCCCTCATGAGTTTCTGAGGCAACGTTCCGTCTCCCCCGTGGACACACATAAGCATCTACTGAACCGCGCATCCTGACTACCTACCTACCTCAGCTGTTAACCATCATTGCTTTGCTCAACGCACCTAAGAGGGCTGAGGAGCTGATGATGTAAGAGGAGCAGGGAACGCGAATTCTTAAATGCCCTCACAGGTCCCGCTTCAATCTGGCCACATGTGGGCCCTTCCTGGGTGTGGGGGATCACCCCTGCCTGGGACAGTACTGGCCGAGGGACATGGCTGTGGTCCAACTCCGGTGGATGCCGGGCTTGCGGTCATGAACATTCTTACATCTCTCCCCTCCCTTGTGGATCCTGAACTCACACCATAAAGCCCAGCCCTGCACCCAGCTCTGCTCGCCCTGTGGCGGCTTCCAGGACCCCTCCTCCTGCTCCCAGGCCTCCAGAGCCATGACCATGCAGCTCTGGCCACACAGAATCTCTAGGACTCTT